AACACAAACGGGGCTTCAGATTGTTCAGTAAGTCAATTAATCAGACAAGTTTATTTGTGCAGCACATTTTAGCTACAAGGCAGTTCAAAGTGCTTTAAAAACACAAAAATAAAAAAACTACATTCAGTGAGAAACATAAACAAATTTACATTTTGTCCAGTAATATCATCAAATATCAATTTATGCACATCAAATTATGTCATAACAAAAACAGTAACTTTAAAATTTTTTGTCATCAGTTGTTTTAGTTGTTGATTTCTATTCAGTGGCCGAACAAAATCACTTCAAGGACCACAAATGGCCCTCGGGCCACACTTTGACCACCCCATGTTTATCACCTAAAATCCCAGAGAAATAAAATGTAATTTTCAGTTTTAATGTGAGATTAAAACTGAATTTATAATTTTGTAATTTAGCTGGAAGGAGTGGCTGAACTCCAGCAGATTTAATTCATTCCCAGCTGAACTTTGACCCTGAATTTAATCTGAATTGTGCGGAGCCCTTGCCAATCGTCAACAGAACCGGCGCCGGCCGTTCTGTGCAGCTAGGCTCGATAAATGGATCCAGCATGGCGGTGTGGGCGGGGTCTCGCTGCGGGGGCGGAGCTTCTGCTAGTGTGCTGCTCATCGACCCAATGCAGCGGCGCGCTGACCTGGATGTGCAGCGGAGTGTGAGGCCGTTTCAGGATTACTGTTGAGCAGGCCGGCAGGCCGCTACGGGATGGCTGCAGCTACCTGAGGGGCCAAACGCTGCGTCTGGGGGCCAAGAATGACACGCTGCAACTCCCCCAAGTGCCACAAAGTTATCAGTATTCTAGTGATAAGGACCCCTGTCGCAATAATCAATTAATCACATAGTAAACTAAAACAAACATTCTATTTTCATGATTTATAATTTTCCTTCTGCTAAAAACTGGATGATGAAACTTATTCTGATGGCCTGAATTTACATTTACAGTTTTATTTATTTTTGCTTGCTAAGTAAACAAACTCATCGCAGAATATGATGATGAAATAAAATCAGTCAGATCTCTGACAAACTAAAAATAATCATTTACTGTTTTCTGTATTTTATTTTTTGTCTTCTTAGCTACAACAGTTGTATTTTTGGGCACGTCTACGTCTGCATTACCATTAAATTAAAATCAGAAACCCCACATCAATACTTTGTTACATTTTTCATTTTAAGATTTTACTTGTAATTTGAGAAAAAAAATGTCAGCAAAGTTGATTTTAAATGATTTGTGCCAAATTTCCTGAACCAGCAAACCAACTTTAGGCTGTTCTTGAACTGTGATCAGGGCCGCCAAAAATCATGCTGAGGGACACAGATGGCCCCCGCGCCACACTTTGGACACTCCTGCTTTTGGTAAATCTGACCTTAATTTTTCCACTGATGCAGCTTAAAACGCCCAAACACAAAATTTAAGAAATTTATAAGAACCTGTCAAATTGAAGGAGAAAAATTTAGAATTTTTTACATTTTTTCCCCCACACATCTGAAACGTGCGGCGTGCATTTATATTGATCAGGAATTAGTCAGAACTCTGTAGATCCACCTCTGGCTGCAGTTTCTCTGGGTTTTATCTCAAACATATGTGAACATCTGGAGTGTTTTTTCCATTCTTCATAAAACATCAGGTTTTTAAATTTGGATTTAGGCCTTTGACTAGGCCTTCTAACACATAACTCTGCTTTAGGGAGTTGAACCTTGTCCCCAGTCTGCTGCCAGGTTTCTTCCATCCACCTTCACATCAGCTATTAAACGCTCCCCTGTCCCACATCATGATGCTGCCATCACTTTGTTTTTGGAAATTTTTATTTAAAAACAAAAACATTTATCGTTTTCGTTCTCCGTCCTTCTCTTTGTGTTTCTCTGTCACGTAAAATCTTTAAAATATTGAAATTCCTCTATCAGTGAAGCTCTGATCCTCTTTAAGTTCATAAATATGAAATTAGGATGGTATTCTGAGTTTAGATATTTATTTTTCAGAGTCTCCGAAACGATAACAAAAAAAAACAAAACTCCGGATTTAAACCAGAAGCTGTGAGCTGGAAAATCCTGAACAGGCGCAGAGAGCCACTGATGAGTCTGTGATTCATAACGCAGCAGCAAATCAATGGCTGATATGAATTATTGATCAGTGAACACAACATGGCCACCGAGGCCTGGAAAGGCTCCTCACTGACACATCTAGCTGCCAATTTCTAGACCCAACTTCTAACCAGGGGTCGACACAGTTTGGACAAAAACTCTGACTTTTAAAATGTCTTTTATTCAATATTCAGTCATTATTACATTAGATTAGCATGAATGCTAATCTCAGACCTTCTGGTTTTAGTTCCAGGACTTTTTAGTTGGTTCCTTCAGTGGTTTTTATCTGATAAAATGAGACGAAAACAGGAGAAAATTTCAAAGTTTCTTTAGAAGATTTAAGAGAAATGAGAATTTCTTGAAGGATGCTACTGTTGATGGGAAGAAAATGATGCTTCCCCAAATCCAGACCTTAATAATGGAGCACAGAGAGAGCATGTAGACTGTCAGAGTCAGGGGTGATCAAAGTGTGGGTCCGGGGCTCTTAGTGGCCCTTGAAATTATTATTTTTCGGCTCCTGAAGTCAAGAGTGGTTAACAAAAATGTCAATTTCTTTAAAATATTTGCTTTTCTTTTTATAATGCAACAGTCAAAAGCCATTTTATGTTTTGGAATTTGAATTTTATTCAGATTTCATAAAGATTTTGTTTATTGTTGAGCAGATAAAGTGTCTTTGAGACAAATGTTAGGATTTGTAATGGATTTTGTGGCTGTCCTGCTGTGGTAAATTTGATAATATTCATTGAACATTTCTGTTTTATGCAATGAAAACTTTCTGCTAAGAAATAAATGAGAAATTAGTTTAGCTTATCAAGATGTTACATTATCAACATTGTACAAAATGTTTCTGTTGTAACTGGCAAATCGGAACAATTAGAGGGTGACAAAATTAATCTAAATAAAGATGTAAAAATGTGTTGATTTTTGTTTATCTGGTCAACAATAATAAACATTTTTATGAAATCTAAATAAAATTTAAGACCCAGAACATAAAAATGACTGGACTTTAGTATTATTAAAAAACAACAAAAAAAGAGACATGTCTGTGTCACCAGTTGTTTTTCTTTTCAATTCTTTACTTGTATTCCAAGGCCAAAGGAAATAACTTTAAGGACCACTAATGGCCCCCGGGCCTCACTTTGATCACCCCTGACATAAAACATAAAGAGTCTGATTTTATTTGCTTTTTTTTCTGAATTTCTGAGTCGTGTTGAAGTTTATTTTGGGTGAATCTGAAGCAGTTAATATTTGTTGTTTTCTCAGAGCCGCAGTTTAAATATTCTGAGATGAAAACGGTTGTTTGCTGCTAGCGGGTTTATCTGGCCTTCGTTAGCCGCGTGTCGAACAGAAGAGGAAATGTTTGTTTGTCTCAGAAACATCTTGAGCTTTTCCTCTTCTCCTTCTGCTCTCAGACTGGCAGCGGCGGCTCATTATCTCTTCCCAGTTGTCGTTCCGCGCTGCGAGGAGGAGAAGAAGAAGAAAGGAGGCCATTAGCGCCGAGGCGCGCCGCTCTGTATTGAGAGCTGCTGTTGACTTTATGCTAATCAAAGTTTCTGTTTAACTCAAAGCGTGGCCAAAGGAAACAGTTTGTTTCTGTTCATGTCAGCACAGAGAAAATGTTTGATCAGAACGAGCCCCCACCATCAGTCTCCACCGCCGTGTTACTGCTAACCGCTCTGTTCGCTTTTATTCTAGCATGTAGCCTTTCTGCTAACAGTAGCGTTCATTCCTCTGGTACAACAAAAAATAATGGTTTTAAAAGTCACTTTCTCCAGATTTTCACTCAAAATGATCAAATTCTTGATGATTGTTTGGTGAATTTTTCTGCAAAAAAAGTCAAAAACATCAAATTTAAGTGATGCTAACTCCGACCTGCAGGGGCAGTGTTTGTTCTTTCTGCTGTTCTGCTGCCTCAGCCTTACTTGATTTCAAGGGTTGGAGTAGCTTGTGACTCCAACCTGACAGCTTTCGTTTTTTCTTCATTTTTCTTCTGTATGAAGAAATTTAATGAGGAAAAAAAAATCCTGCCAAATATTTCTAAAATCTGAGATTTTAATCACCAAAACAATTCCTGGAAATGCTGGAGGGACTGAAAAGTTTTTTCATAAGATCTTCTGAGGAGAATATTGATGAAAATGTTGCAGATTATGTCCTTTATAAACAGCCTCTGGCAATTATCGATTTGAATCACAAAAACTTTCATTTTTTGTTTTTACTCGTTAAATAAACAAGCTAATCACAGAATATTTTAATCAAATAAAAACAGCCAGATCTCTGCAGCTCGTTCTTGCAAACAGGAAAATAAGCAAAAGTTTTAATTTTTTCTGTATTTTTTGTGTTTTTTCAGCTAAAGGGACAGTTTACGTCTCTCCTTTTTTATATGCTGGATAAATATTATTGTTTGTGTTGAAAACTGCTGGAATAATCTATGAATTTGTTACCAATCAGGCCCACTTACAATTAACAGTTTCAGCAGGATACTTTATAGTGTCAATAATTTTTTTATATTTATAAAAACATTCTCAGGTTATTTCACCTACAATAGGAATTTTTTCTCATGTTATAAGTCAAATAATCTTCTTGTGAATAATATTAGGGCATTACTGACTTAAACTCACTTCTATCTGTGAAGTGACTTTTAAAATTGTTTTGTTTCAAGTGAACTGAGATACTTGTAGTAAAGACTGGATAAAAATATTTGCTGTGATTTTGTGTTTTTACAGTGCATGAGCCTCAGTGAAACATTAAATCCAGCAGCTTTGGTTTGTTGCCATTATCTGCTCGTTTTACGTTGGATTTAATTTTAAAGTCAACATTTTCTGACTCTGTGTTCCACCCCTGCTCCCAGGCTGCTGACCTTTGACCTCTGCGCTGCTGACGGCCTCCTGTTGTGTGTTTGTCCGCAGTTTGCTCGCAGTATTCCCGCGGTGTCTTCGCCATCTTCGGCCTGTACGACAAGCGGTCGGTGCACACGCTGACGTCGTTCTGCAGCGCGCTGCACATCTCCCTCATCACGCCCAGCTTCCCCACCGAGGGCGAGAGCCAGTTCGCCCTGCAGCTGCGGCCGTCCATCCGCCGCGCGCTGCTCTCCCTGCTCGACCACTACGACTGGAAGAAGTTCGTCTTCCTGTACGACACGGACCGAGGTGAGGCCGCTCCTGGAAACGCGTTCCTGTTTTCCGACGGGAAGCAAATGCAGCATGAGTCAGTTTGGTCTGATCCAGCGATTAGTCTGGTCCCAAACATCCAGTTTAGGGATCAGACTTTTGATGCCAGTTTGATGCTTTAAATTAATGGGAATGAATCTTTCAGTCTGCTTTCAGAAATCTGAGTTCAATAAGGAGCTTATTATGTTTTATAGGACGGGTGTCGATATTGAATGGTTTAAACACCATTCAATGTGGGAATAACTGAAAAGTTTAAACTGGTGGAAATCATAAGGTGTTATATTTTCCAACTGCTCCTTCTTGAACAAATCATGTGAAACTGCATGTCAATCCAAATGATGATTCATTTTTTTATTTCTGCTTTTAGTTTGTCTGTTTGAAATTAAATAAGTAAATAAACGTGCAGCTCTAAATGCACTGCTTACCGTTCACACTATAATTATGATAATAAGTGGATAGCTCTTCTGTTTTGGTGGTTTTCATATGAAAATCACAGATTTTTTTTCATTGCCTTTTTAAAATATTTGCGAGAAATGTTGCCATATGTTTCCTCATTAAACGACAGATCAAATGTACATTGAGGAGAAAAAGATGAAGAAAAACTAAAACAGACTGGAAACATGAATTGTAACTTGACCGAAGTACCAGAGACGAAGTTATTTTTATATATGTATATATATAATTTTTTTTTTTTTTTTTGCTGAAATTTTGCAGTAGTCCTTGTGGAAAAATATGGGGATTTGTTGATTTTGCATGAATTTCCACAATCATGGAATCCTAAAATAATAATTCTAATCATTAAAAAGATTAATAATAATAATAATAATAATAGCTTTCATTGCTGATGTTTCTGTTTTCATTTCAGATCATTAAACTGAAGATGAAAGTAAAAAGAAACAGGCTTTTTAAAAAAAATTATTCTAAAGTAATGGCTCCCCGAATCGGCGTGTTTAGGTTTGGTTAGCGTCGCTGCGGGTCTGATCTGCTACTCAACCGTTTTGAGACGGTTGAACGGCTCGCGCAAAGCCTTTGACTAGGCCATTCTAAAACCTTCTATCTGGTTTGTGCCTGTCTGAGTTGAACTTTAGTGTTTGTAAATGCAGATAAATCTCGGTGTCAGTTTGTTTTATTTCCATCGTTTCTCTTTTTTTTTCTGGTTTAATATCGAAGTGAAACCTCCGGAAAGCGTTTCTTGGTTCACACTCCTCTCCCTGCTGCCGGTTTGTTCGGATTCAGCGCACCGTGTCACATTTCCATTACAGGCAGAGCGGCGGCGGCGCCTGGCGGGCCGCTGCCTCCATCTCTGAGCTGATTGGCTGACGGGGCTGCGGCGCCGACCCAATCTTCTCAGAAAACCCATTCCTGCCTCTGCGTCTCTTATCTGGGGGTCACGCATGCTTGGCTGGGTAAAAAGCTTCTCTTCTCTCTCCGCTCAACAAAAGCCGCAGGAATCTGATCAAGTGTTCTGCAGAAATCCAACATGGCTTCCTGTTGGAGGCGGCGCCGCCTGGCAGAACGACGCAGCGGGACGTTAACGCAGATTCATCAGAAACTTTACAGTGACGAGGCAAAGGCAGGAGACGCAAAACGCAACCAGAGCCGATCTAGATAATCCAGAAACAGAAAGGGTTTGAGCAGCCTTACATGATCAGATATTTTATCATTATACACAGGAAACAGGAAGTCTGAGGAGATAAGAAACATTTACTGACAATGGAGGATTATAGAGCCACACTGAGAAAAAATATAAAACTATCAGAGCAGAATCAAAATATGAGAATAAAGTTAATAAGATGAGAATGAAGTGATACATTTTTTAAAAAGTTTATTCAATTATCAAAATAAAGTGGAACTATGGGAATAAAGTCAATATTGTGAGAATAGTCATAAAATCATGAGATAAGTCACAATGATGGGATTTCGCATTATTTCCACCTTATTTTAATAGTTTTTATTTTCTTCCGTGACAAAACAAAATGTTCTATTAATCCGGTAAAATCTTATTTTGATTTTGTGCTACAAACTGAACCATGGGAAGACTGCTGGCAAAGATTACAGATCAAAGACAGTTTGGTAGAAGGACAAACTATGGTCGCAAAAATGTGAACTCAATTGAGAGTGTGGTGAAGTGTGTGTGTCTGGTGAAGGAAAAGCCGTCCAGACACATCTATACATCGGCCCACTGAGGCATCTATCCTGATCTGAATAATTATGAGGAAATGACAGATGAGAGGAAATAAAGTGAAAATAATCCAGTTTAGAGCAGAGAGCTCAACTCAACCTTCTGCACAATCAAACATTTAACTTTTTCATGCTCCGTTACTTCAGTTTTGCTTCAGTTTTGTTGTCGTTTTTGCTGCGTTGTGCAGAACCATAGTTATTCTCCTGCTAAGTGATTCTGCTTCCTTTCCAACCGGAACTACTGGACAAAACGTTCTGAGAGGAAGGACAAAATGAAACATGCAGCTTGGAAAGGACGGAAAACGCTGGGAGCAAAGAATTATGGGAAATTTTAAAACACATTTTACTGTAAAACTAAATGGAGTGAAAGAAAACAGGCATTTGTCCTGGAGTCATTCAAATTCAGAAATACTTCATTGATCCCAAAAGGAAATGAAATGTTGATGTAATTCATTAACTTAAAGTCTTGTTGTCTGTTCCTTATAAATATTAATAAATGCTTTAATCCTCCAGTTCAGGCATCGCTCACTACAACATTTGTTTTGCTTACGCTAAAACGTTACACAAACACAGCATTTAGCATAAGTTAATGCTTAATCACAGTATCAACATATTTAGCAAGAGCTAATGCTAACACGCTAACTTGAATTCAAATGATCTCCGTTCTTAAATGACTACAACCCTCTATAACCAGTTGAATATATTTTAATATAGGCTTTATACATTTTATATTTAAGCATTTTTTATTAATTATCTTCTTGTTTTATTTTAGTTCTCCTTTATTTGTGTTTAACAATCGCAGCAGTTGTAGGTTATTACATTTTTTGGGATTTTGCACGTCTTTTCCGTCCCATTTGAAAAAGGACTTGATGTTTCATGTTGTCACATTCATGCCATAAAATGAAACGATGAAGCTTATCATCCTGTCACTTCATAATGTTTTGTGTCAGGTAATAATTTGCATGTAGGAACAATATTCAACTGAACGTTTTGGCAGCTTAAACTTTATTTTGAGGAACTAAAGCCGGTACTTCTGAGATGACTGAACGTTCTCAGCTGGTTCTGGTTTTCTCTGAGAAAAGAAACCAAACCAGAAAGAGCCAGAAATTAATAAAGTAACAGGTTAAATGCCTGAAATCCCAGCAGCAGGGGCAGCAGCTCTGTTTGTGGCGCGGTGATGAGACTTCATGTCCCATTGCGCGACGCTCAGCCTGTCCGGTGTAAAGAGGCCAGACAGGAAGTGAAGCATAGCCTGGACTGGGCCGGCTGATTACCAGCTGATGAATGTGTAGCTGGAGGCTGCAGGAGGAACGGCAGCCGGCTGCAATCAGCATCAAACCGACACTGCCTGGACGTTGGCCCATTGAGGCTAATGCTAACGCTAGCCTGGGCCGAGCAACTGCAGCTGCAACACGTGGGGAGAGAGAGAACATGTTGTCCTCCTGCTTCTGGTTTCTGGACAGAGTGGAGCTTTCATCACTGTATGGCAAGCTCATTTATCATATAACACCAGGGCAGAAAAGTCAGGAGTATTTGTTTTAAAGGGCCAGTAATGTGTTTTCTAGGCACATAGCACCACCTTGTAGCATAACCAAGTCACCATGTCAACTTTCCACATCATAAAAATGCTGTACATCAAATATGAGTTAAAATAACATTTACTTCTAATTTAATGCTTTGAAATTGGGTGTGTCTCTTTAAAAACTCCTGCTCTTAAGCTCCGCCTCCAGGAAGTCAACCCAACATGGCTCCTCTAATAACCTTTTTACGGTTTTACCAGTGTTGCTCTGACCAGCAGCTCCTATTATGACTTCAGCAGTTCCACCAGATGTTTGCTAATTGCTGCTGGCTAGTCTGAAGGAACTGAGTGGAGGAGGAGCTATGTTTTGAAGGCGGAGCAAGGTCCAGCAAGTTGAATGGTTGCCATGGAGATCAAAGGATTTCATAAACATGCATAGAAGAGTCAACACATCATTCCAGGGCGTAACATGATGAAAAGGTGAAGAAAAAAAACTCCACACCGTGATTTTCCTTCCACCAAATTTCACCGTTTTAAACTTTCTGGATCTTGTGCGGTAAGAGCAGATAGAGGCAAGGGTTCTTGAGTTTACTCCTGATTTTCTTTGTCAAAAATCTATAATTTGAGTTTTTTCTGAGGCTCTCCGTTTTATATTTTGACTCCTCTCACAGAAGTATTGATTTTATTAAATTGTGTGAAGGTTTATAAATTGATTTTTGGTTTTTCTCATCCTGAGTTGCTTCTTATTTGGTAATCCAGAAACTTTTCTGTGGCGCTGAATCAGCCGTCATTTGCTGCTCTCTGAATGCTGACAGATTTCTGCTCTTTTCTTGGCTTTCTGCCTTCAGTTTCTGATTAATTAAACACTTTGACATGTCATGTAACTTATGGGTCTATTTGTTTTTCTTAGTTCAAGTAGATTGAATGAGTTGGTACCAGACCCATGTCAAAGGTCTAATTATAATGTATTTATTGAGTTTTTGGTTTGTCAGGCAGATAAATCTCGTTTTCTTACTGTTGTGATGACGGCTCATGTTGTTCAGTGATAACATGCAGATTCATTCGTTACAAACATTTTTCATTTTTACAGTTTTGACTGGTAAAAACTGACTTTCATATCTATTCCTCTAATTATTCAGTTTTGTCTTTATGTCTCATTTTTCTTTTCAGTCCTGTTTTTTTTGTCCTGTAATTTTTTTGTTTTCTTTCACTTTTTTTTACTCCTCTTTTATTTAATCTTTTCACATTTCTGTTGCTTGTTTCAGTTCTTGTTCCATTTCTTCCTCTCATTCCAATTTTTTCCCTCGGTTTTCTTCTTAATGTCTCCTCACATCGTTAGTTTTTTTTCCCATTCTGCCTATTTTCTATTTTTCTTCATTTTTACCCTTTCATCCATTTCTTTCCATCTTTATTTTTGATAATCTTTCTTTTTTTTTGTTCTCTGGCTTCTTTTAGCTTCCTTCCATTTGCTACTGACTTTCCTAATGTCTCTCAGTCAACAAAAAGAGAAATCAATTTTTAAAAAATCTGAAATGCCGTTGTTTTAAAGAAATCAAATATGTGCAATTTATATTTATATACAGTTTAATTTGATTTATTTGGTTGAGACGATGCACATAAGTTGGCATTTCTGTAATTGCATAATAATTATCCAAAATGCTGTTTTTCGTCTGTTGTAACTGGACAATACTTGATTTGTCTTGCTTAAAACAAACAAAATGACTTAACTACATAAACTCTGTCAACAAATACAACAAAATAATAATGAAATAAAGCTGCAGTCCTTTATCCAACAAGTTTTTCTCTCCAACGCTTCATAAAATAACCAACAAACATGATTATTTTCCGGTTTATCATGTCTTTAAGAATTTATAAAACATTACTGCTGCTAAAAATACTAAATTATTATGCGTGAAAATGTCCCAAAAAGTCCCTCAGTGAGACCAAAAACCAGTTTTTCTTGTTTTCAGCACAAAACCTCATTAATCTTCCCTTTCAACTGGAAACACTTGCTCCCATCTGGGGGTTTGGCTGTAAAAAAGCCAAAATGCCACGAACTGCTTCCTCTCTGCAGGGACAAGTGTGTGTGTCTCTCTGTGTGTGTGGGTGCATGTGTGTGTGTGCATGTGTTTGCGCGTGTGTGGTTGTGTGTGTCTGCGTGTCTGCGTGTGTGCGTGTGTGTGTGTGTGTGTGTGTGTGTGTGTGTGTGTATGTCTTGGCACCAGCAGCCCTCTAATGGGCAGTGAAGGGCCAAGGAGGGATGGAGGTGTGCAGGCAGCCAGGTTGCCAGAACGCAGGTTAAGCCACTAATTGGGAGCAAAGGGAGCCTGGTTGCCAGATTGTGATGGCCACCAGGAGGGGCCGTTTAAGGGGGACATCTGCTCCTGCAGGAGGACGGCTGCCCTCGTGGCCGCCGTCATGGCCGCCCTGCGCCCAGCTCTGCCTCCAATTCGGAGCTTCGATCTGGAAACGCTTCAGAGTTTGTTTTGACTCCTTGAGGATGTGGAGATTCAAACTGCAGTTTTAAACTTCCTTCCAGTTTCTGCTCAGAACCCAGGTTCTGTTTGCTTCAGATCAGAAAGCGGATCCAGACATGAACCTGGACAATAATACAGAGCCCAAATATGAGATGAACAGAGAAATATCCTGTCTGTTGTTGAGCAGCATTAAAAGCACCAACAGACTCTGGAATATTTAAACTTAATCCAGATTATCAAGAATATTAAATGATGTCAACAGAACCGACTTCAAGAGTCGGGGAAGACAATAGCTTTTAGAAAATGCCAGAAGTAGAAAATTATTGTAAAACTAAATTTATTACAAGAAAATATTCAGTTTTAAATCTTGAACTGTTTCTCTAATAATAACTTCTAAATAACAGGATTAATGTAAAAGGCTACTTACAGAATAAAGATAACTTTATTTAAAATGAAAGTTTAAAAAGCAGCAAAGCAAACGACCGGGACAATCGTATTCGGGAAAGCTAAACATGCTGAACGTTTTCACAGTTAGCTTAAGTGGTAAAGGAAGAATTAGCTCTGCCATTAGCACATTAGCCGATTAGCAGAAGACACAGTTACCATTTTAGCTTTTTAGTTTTGTAAAAAATTGTCAAACACTGAAGTTTATACTGTAATACACTAAACTAAAAACTAGATCGATCAGTGGAATACTGATCGATAATCAGAGGGCGTTGTGAAGAGTGTGAGATCCTGACTGTCTCTGTACCCTGTGTGTGTGTGTGTGTGTGTGTGTGTGTGTGTGTGTGTGTGTGTGTGTGTGTGTGTGTGTGTGTGTGTGTGTGTGTGTGTGTGTGTGTGTGTCTCAGGGTACGCCATTCTGCAGGCCATCATGGAGAAAGCCGGACTTGACGACTGGCAGGTCAGCGCCATCTGCGTGGAAAACTTCAACGACGCTAACTACCGCCGCCTGCTGGAGGACCTGGAGCGCCGCGAGGAGAAGAAGTTCGTCATCGACCTGGAGGCCGAGAGGCTGCAGAACATGCTGGAGCAGGTGACTGATGAATCAACTAATCAATCAATCATAAAGCACGTTTCAGAAACACGGCAGTTTGAGAAAACATAACAGCATCATAAACACATCATACAGTCAGCAGCAGTAAAAACTAATAGCAGATGTATGTTGCTGAGTTCTATTGTTAAAGAGATCAATACAGAGCAAATATCATGATCAATGTTTCAGTTATTATTGTCCAGAGGAATCTAAACATGTGGAGGTTTTAGCCTAGATTTCAAGCTGCAGGATGAAACTTTCCCTATGTTTGTTATAAGAGATAATCTATCGACCTCTGACCTGAGAAGACACTGCTGCAGCAATTAATGCGACTAAAGATAAATGCATGCATGAGTTTCTCACTCATTCTAATCCCGAAATGCTGATCCGGTGATGGAAGGCCAACTTTGTTACCGTCTCTATGTGACTCTGTATGTTCAGCTGGTTTTTACCCTCGTGCTGCGGCTCTCGGGTTGCAGCGATGCCTTCAGGTCTGCAGGGATTTAATGTGTCATCATGCCAACATCTTCAAAGAGTGTTTCCCTCCCCGTCAGGCGGTACTGGGAGGACGCTGTACCTGCTAATTAGACCAGTTTGAACCTGGGAAACGTCTGTTTTTATCTCCAGTGATGGTCGCTGGCAGCAGCTCACTCAGAATCTGCTCCTCCCTCCTCTTCCTGCTGCTCCTCTTCATCATGGCCGCCTCCGTCTCTCTGAGGGCCGGCGGCTTCTGCTGCCAACTCTCAGCTTAATCTGAAGTTTATTTATTTAGATTTTTACTAATTATGTTAAAACTAGCGCCGTAGCGTTTCACTGGTTATTTGTGTTGCTGAACTCTCTCACCTCCACCAGTGAGTTGTTGATGAATGCTAATTGCTATTAGCATAACAAACTTTTCATCCAAGGGATTTTATTAATTGATAAAAACGTCCTGGTTTTGTAGAAACACAAAAGCTGTAAATGGCTGCTCAAAGTCAGACTTTATTAAATTACCTGAAGATAAATACATGAAGTAAAACTGCAGAATATGTTTTTAAAAACTTTTTTTTTTCTTCTGCTGCTTTTTATTTTCATTATTACATTGAATAGAGTTTCAGATTTTTTTGTTTTTTATTTTCATTCATAATTCGTTTCTTTGACTGTGAAGCAGTTCGGTTTACAACCCTGAAAGGATTTTATTAAAGGCTTTTTTTGTTTTCTGTGCAGGTCTGTGAAATACTTCATGCAGTGAAAGAAATATTTCATTGGTAGGACGAAAATAATCGAACGCATTTATAATTCTTGTAGCTTCCTTCTAAAGCACATCATCGGGTTTTATGTTTGATTTGTTTTGCCCAAAAGCAACTTTTCAATAAAATGTTGTTTTCTAGATGTAAATAATGAGTTAAATGATCTTTCAGCAGCAGGAACTTTGTTCACCTTATATCCCCGTAACCAATATAACCGCATGTTTTCCTGCTTCACTTTTCATCAGCTTTGAAATGCAGCCTGGATGCATATGCGGGAGGTGAATGGTTGACGGTTCAGTTTCCGAGGCCGAGCTCCTGATCCGGATAACAATGAAGCCGCTGAGTCACTACAGGACGTGGGTCAGCTTCCGGCGCCTCGTTAGTGTGGAGTCAGAGGTTCAGAGAGCAGTCAACAGGAAACGCATCATCACTGGGGTCCGCCCTAAGATCAGCACTGGAAATCAGACAGATAAAATCTGTTTTATCAGACAAAGACCGTCCATTGAGCTCCACCTGACACCAGTTCAGTTTAATCCGCTTTAACCCAACTCCAGTCCACTTGTCTATAAAGTCTGGTTCTTTTCTTGGAGGTGTGAATGCTAATCGAGCTCTGGTGCTCCAGGCCTCGGTCTGGTGAACTCTGGTTCAGTTTGAACGGCAGTCGTACCGCAGACCGCTCCAAAAGCAGGAAGTGGACTACAGCTTAGGGCATTCTGGGTAAATACAACCAAAACAAGCGTGTCAGCCTCGCGCTAGCGAGAGAAATGTCACATGGTCTTTAGACAAAAGAGAAATCCCAGTCGACCTCTGTGAGGCGGCGTTTGTAAAGGAGCAAAGTCAAACATTAACAGCAATAATTTGGGTTATTTAGCCTGTCATAACCCCGCCTCTTGCCCAGAACGTTAGCTAGAGATAGGCACCAGCACCTCCTGACCCCACTGGGGACAGGAGTGTCAGAAAATGGATGGATGGTTAGATGGATAGCCTGGCATTAAAGGAAAAAATGTCTTCTAATCTTTTTATTTCTTTTTCTCTTGTTCAACATTTCAGCTTTAAACAAAGGAAGAGCCGTTTAAAAGGCAACCCAGACGTTTACCAATAGATCCAGAGTGATGCCTGATGATGAGATCCACAGATCTCAGCCATTAAACGTGTTTTCCTGCCAGATTGTGATATTCTGTCGTCCTGTCAGATTAACTCGGCTGTGTCTTCCTCAGATTGTGAGTGTTGGGAAACATGTGAAGGGTTACCACTACATCATGGCCAACCTGGTGAGTCAGTTGCCTCCATCTTGGTTTTCCTCTCCAGGTAGTGTGACAGCATGGAGTCGTCTGTAAACGCCGCGACTCTCTTCCTCTGCAGGGATTTAAGGATATCAACCTGGAGCGCTTCATGCATGGGGGCGCCAACGTCACCGGCTTCCAGCTGGTCAACTTCAGCAACCCCATGGTCATCAAGCTGATGCAGCGCTGGAACAAACTGGACCAGAGGGAGTACCCGGGCTCCGATGCCCCGCCCAAGGTACCAAGAACCAGAACTAGAATTAGAACCAGAAACAGAACCAGAGGTAGAACCAGAACTAGACCCAAAGCTTCTGTTCAGGTCTGGGGTCCAAAGTGGGGTTTTGGGGCCTTATATGTCCCCTGAATTTATTTATTTATTTATTTTTGTCGCCTCCAAATCGAGTCCAAGAATGATTCAAAACTTTTTTGTACACAGAGCGAATTTATTATCAACATTCAAACAGCTCCATTTATTGCAGGTTATTTTTTGCAGTTTTTCAGAGGAAACACTGGGAGGGAAATCCCAACTGGAACTCCCCCGTAAACTAGCAACCCAAGCTGAGATCCAGCAGGTTTTGTTGTTTTTGTTGTTGATTTGCCATCCAGAAGCCTCTCGCTGTATTCTTGTTGGTTGCACAGAAGGCTCCACGTCTGCTTATCAAAGATGTATGGTTGTATGATTTTGCTTTTGTTTGTAGCCATTTTCATGTCAGTGTAAACGTTGAGTTGGGGGTGTGGCCAGTAGCAGGTTATTGGGATTTAAAGTGACAGAGACCCAAAAACAGCTCAGAACAGGGAGAACTGGGGAGTTTAAATCTCATTATTTAAGACTGATTTATTGCACAGAATGTAATGAACGTGCTTTGACTAGGCCATAGTCTTATCCTAACCTGCTCTAGAAAGCATTATAGGTCAGGTTTAAAGCCGAAATGTTTTCATTTCATTTTGAAGCTGAACTCTGGTGTTTGCAAAATGGGGATGACTCAGCCGGTTGGAGATCTGAGGAGAGGAAGAGCCGTCCGCATGTCATCCTGCTCTGCTGCATGCAGCAATGTGACAGTCTGACCCACTTCCTGCTCACCCGCGCACGGTTCAGGCACTGGGGCATCACGCCTCGGCGGCTCATCTCTGTGTCCAGCACAGATCTCTGCTTTAGACGCAGCAGCAGAGAGGAGCCGAGTGTGTGTGAGAGTGTGTGTTTGATGTATTGGGCTGGTGAAATTAAAAGTTTACACCAGTGTGATAACATCCATGGTGTGTGTGTGTGTGTATGTGTTGATGAATTGCTCTCTCTCCTGGAAATCCACTCAGCCTAAATGAGTGGACTCCCCACTGAGGCTCTGCGATTAGCCTGATGCTAAGCTAATAAACAAACGCCGTGGCGACCACTGCCTCTGCCATCTTTACTCATTTAGATTCATAAAAGCAGCAACGCTTCAGTCGAAGCTCTTCTCATCAGCAGGCAGAGACCTGATGAGATAAAACGTATTATTATTATTATGAAGTAGGATTCTCACTCAGGCTGGAGTTTTTCCTCCATCTGGCCGTCAGTTATGAAGCCATTGAGCCTCAGGGCCCAAAGGGGACAAAAAACATGCATGTATTGATTCTTTACCTTTTGTCTTGTTTTTTATTTCTAGCTTAAATCCTGAAGGCATGTTTTTTTTTCTCCCCCAATACATTTTTTTTCTCTTAACTGAATGGAATATTTTTCCCCAGGCCCAAAGACAAAATAATAATAATAATTGTCCTCTGTTGTTTTTGCTGATAAATGAGAAACATGTATCTTTATTGTCCTTCAATATTTGGTAGAAAAACACAATTGGACAATTTTGACACATTATTAGTTTTTTATGCTCAGCTTCAGAAAGAAATGTTCCACAAAAAAAAGGCAGCTTTAAACTATTTTTATATAAAAAAAAATTACTTGCACATGTTTACATTTTTAAGACTTTTTGGGTCTTCAAAGGAAAAATAAAACATTTCAGACTTCCGTCCATAATCATCTGGTATTGAATTTCTCAGTGTGCTGCTTGTTGAGATATTTACCTGCTTCATGTTGTCAGACAGGTTCCTCGTCATGGCTTGAGGTTCATGATTTACGTTTCACTCGTTTTCCTGCATCGTAATTTTACGATTTTTTTAAAAAAAATTTTACTCTGATTTGATATTAAAATAATTTCTTCTCTAAGCGTCTCAGCAGTGCGCTCCAAACAAACCGAAGCATCGTGTTTGTGTTGATGGAAGCAGGCGCCAGGCTGTGATTGGTCGGGCAGCAGCAGGGGGCGGGGCTGAGAGCGGTCTGGAAGCCATAATGTTGCAGTGAGCAGAAGGCTAATGAATGGGGTTCAGCCCCGGCTTCAGGCAGTTAATAAACTCCCGCCAGCCGGGGTAATTAATGCCAGGCTGCTTCCCGGCTGGACAAAACGCTTCCCGTTACCCCCCTCCACCACCCCTCCATTAACCCCCACCTCTTTATTACCCCTCTACCCCCAAAGCCAGGCTGCCGGTTCGTCATTCACTCAATTACCTCTCTGCCCTGCCAGAGGTTAGTTTCAGGAGAATTTATGGCGCTTTAAGGGGAGCAGCATTTTTACAGGGCAAACAATCAGGAACAGCAGCGCTTCTTCAGGTCCCAGATAAATGAGGGCAAATTGGTGAGTTTACACCGGGGGCGGGGCCTCTGCTCTGCTCTAGGCTTCCTCTCTGTTTCCAGGAAATAATGACTGGAGTCTCCTGCTCCTGTTATGTTGAAGAAACTCTGCAAGTCCTCTGAGAACCCCTGAACAGCAGAACATTAACCCTGTTGGGCTAAATCAGAGTTTAATTGGGCTGATTTGTCAGACCGGGTCGGGTCTCTCCCGGCTGCACTTACAAGGACTTTCATTTCATTCTGCCTGCTGAGTTTTATATCGTTTTTAAAGTGTTATAGCACCTGACAGGCCGTAGACTCGCTTTGACTTGTTCCATCTGCATCTGCTGTGGTTCTCTTTCTCTCTGCTCCGAGTCACACCACCAAACCCTTTGATCAACCAGTTCCCCTCCTCCCCTGTGGGGGGCGCTGCACTAAGAACCACTGAAGGAAATGACACAAAGAAGACTCTGAGAGCAACTTCTTTCTTCATCAGGTGGAAATAGAAATGGAGGTTTTTGTGTCGTTTCCTTCAGTGGTTCTTGGTGCAGCGCCCCCACAGTTCAGGAGGGGAACATGTTGCTCAAAGCATTTGATTGGTTTGACTCAGAGCAGGAGAACTACAGCAGCTGGAGGGGGAACAGATGATGAAGTTTTGTTCCAGTAGAACCAGGTCTATTGGACCATCAGGAGGAAAATGTCCTGAAACTCCAGACGGCCGGTCGGAAACAGCCCTGGTTATCTGTTAATGCCTGCTTGTGTCTTGCAGTACACTTCTGCGCTGACGTATGACGGCGTGATGGTGATGGCTGAGGCCTTCAGGACGCTGCGCAGTCGAAAGGTGGACCTGTCCCGACGAGGGAACGCCGGGGACTGCCTGGCGAACCCTGCCGCCCCCTGGAACCAGGGCAAAGAAATGGAGCGCACCCTGAAACAGGCGAGTGGACCTGGAGTTCATTTAGGCGCCACCATGAGCTGCTCCCATTTGATCACCTTCTAATCATAAAACTTCTGTTGTAATTGGCTTTAATGTGACAAGCGGTACATAAATGTAAAGTGGAAGGAAAATAAAACAGGACTTTCAACATTTTTTACAGAAAAACATCCGATGAAAAGTGAGACCCATTTTGAAAATGAACCTTTTGGTAGACGTGCTGACATCATGATGATCTAGATTCACTGAAGATGTAAACATTGTAAGACTCACCTATAATCACAGATTTGAACAAATGTTGACCTTATTTGATCTTTCTGAACCTAAGGAGGCTTAAAGTTCAAAGGTTTCAAACTTGAACATATTTTAAGTGACAGACCAACAGCAAGAGAAGAGAGGGAGAAATTAAGCAACAAATCTTTTAAAGTGAAGACTCTGAAACAAAAAAATGCCTTAGAATGGCCTAGTCAAAGCGCAGGCCTAAATCGAGCTGGGAATCTGTTGATTATTGATGTCTCTGTGTGGAGAGTTGAGGAAAATCAGTTGTGTCGTTTTCCTTCAGCTTCACATTTATTTACTGCTTTATTTGTGGCTCAGATAAATCGGTCAAGGTCTCGTTGGTTGGTTCCCCTCTGCATGACGTCACTCTGTCTGTCTGTGTGCAGGTCCAGCTGCAGGGACTAACAGGTAATGTTGAGTTTAACGAGTTTGGTCAGAGGATCAACTACTCCATGGACGTGTTTGAGCTGAAGAGTAACGGACCCAGAAGGGTAAGACATGAAGACAGAGACCAGGTCTCACAAACGAACCGCCTGAACTAAGTTTGGGGCTTTTAGTTTTTTTTCCAGAGTGGAAGGATTACAGGATAGCAACTGTGATGAGTTTTAAAGCAACGCTGCTGTGGATTTTAACTCACTGGCATCGATAAGTGATGCTGAAGTATCTCTGAATATCTTATAAAAATCCGTAGCTACTGAATTTTCTCATCTGAAAGTTTTAGCCGATGACGTCCCGTTATTTGACCGACTCGAATCTCTTAGCATGTTCCTGTTGGAGTCCTGTGAAAATTCCCCAGACTTTCTGCAGTTGGGTCATTCATAACAATTTATCAAATAATTTTTCTACAACTTTCCAAGTTTTAATTTTTTCCTGTCGTTTCAGGTCAGAGTGATCTGGAACATTAAATCCAGACATTTTCTGACTAACACTGTGTAAACAACATAATTAATCTCCAGCATTGACTGTTGTCAGGGTACAACCTGCTCAGAGAATATTAATGGGAATGCAGAGTGATATTTGAGTCATTATGAGCACGCTGAGTGGATGACAGAAAATAAACCTCCTGTTGTTCCACTTTAGAAGAATAACATTTAAAAAGCTTAATCAAAACCTCCAAATTAATGACATTCATTTAAATGATGAGTTGATGTTCACTTCTGACCTGAACTGTGGAAAACAGTGTTTCCAATATATAACAATAAGCACCATCACAGGATGGGCTCAATGCATGAGCAGCATGTAACCGCCTCATTGTACAGGATTAGTTCTGGTTCTGGTTCTGGTCCTGTTTCACTGCCAGTCTGGAGTAATGGAGAAAGAGAAACACCACAGATCTCCACAACTTCAACTCACCTTCTCGATCGTTGGAGGTTGGACACAGTTGGCTGTTCTGGGTCCAGATTGGTTCCCAGCTTCCCAGAATGCATTGCGGTGAACCGTTTAAAGTCTTCTGATGTCTGGCGTGCTTTCTGACCAGAGTCAGCTGTAAAACTAAAAGCATGAATGAAAGGCCTGTATCAAAGAATCACTTCCTCAAGCGCAAACCATACAGGAAGGAGTTTAATAGCAGGTTTCCGCCTGTGGAGGGCGCTATAAGCACATGTTCTGTCATTGATACATGGCGGGTTGAAGTTAGCACTTTAGTGTTAGCTTCCCCAAAATACTATGTTGGTGTAACAGTTTGTCGTCAGTGGAACTGTGTAGGGTTAGCGTTTTACTGTTAGCATAGCTAATGTTTTAGCTTGCAGTTCCCTCCTGTTCATTAAAACAACTCTGCTGTTTAATATCAAGCCTGAATGACAGCAGAGGCTTGTTGCTGAGCCAGTTCTATAATATGTGTGTGCATATGCACACACACATATATATATTTAATGTATTTTTGACCTTGTTTTGATTAAAAACAAAAGACAGGCTGAGTAGCAGCTCGGATGGATGGATGGGTTTTCCCTTATTGTTTTCTTTGGCCTTCGTCTAAACATGGCCGACTCGCCTCACCTGTAGCTGCTGCTTTTTTGCAGCGTCAGCTGCTTAACAAACAGGTCAGTGTTAAGAGTAGCTCTTCTTCTCCACTGCCTGTAAATCAGAGTAATATCAAAGATGTGCTGAGGCCACTGTGATGGATGAAGTGGTTTAGGGTTGGTAGGATTTAATGCGTGTTGCGCCATTTTCTGTTATCATAAGTGAGGTGTAAAAAACAGCCTTGGGCAGCATCTCCGCCTCTGGTCTGAGAGGATGGATGTGTGTGGAAGAAATGGAGGCGAAGGCGAGAGCAGCTGAGAGAGTGATGGGGAGAGGATGAAGTGAAACAGAAGGCAATCTAGGTATGCTGGTGGAGGAGAGGAGTTCCCATCAATCAGAAGCTGCTTTGGCCGGCTCCGGGACACGTGGGTGTTTGTGTGTGTTTGTGTTAGGTCAGAACCTCGCCCCCACATTCTGCATGTCCTTCAATCATCCTGAGGCCGAGCGCCGCTGGCCCCAGCCCCGGCCCCGCCGCCTCCACTCTGTCTGAATTATGGCTGTTTACAGCGCCTGTCACAGCCTCTGCATCCTCTATGATCTGTATATCAGTTTGACACAAAATTGCTTCTCACATTCCGGCTTTTTACCATAAATTGCTGCGACACTCCCTGGTCGCGACGTGCCGATGCTCTGACTGAAGCACATCCTGGATGTCACTTCCTGGCAGTCACATCTCCTTCCAGAGGTCAAGCATCTCCTCCCAGATGACCTCTGGAAGGAGATGCTTGCAGACAAAGAGAGATCTTCAAAGATTAGTCATTAAGTTGCTGCCTAAGCGGCATCACAAGATGGAAGCTGTTGCAGGATGCAGCATGTGGAATAATCTGGAGAACAAAAAGAAGATTTTATCTGAGAGTAACATGAAGTTTAATTAGACTGAGTTCAGGCCAACGGAAAACATAAATTTCAAATGTCATGTCATATACAGATGGTGCCGATGCTACAGATGTGTTGCTAAATGGCAAAAGGTCTTGATAATACTTAAAAACCAAAAGGCTGAATTAACTACATGAGACCTAACAAAGAAGGATCAGGGACAAATGGTTCATTAAATAAAATGGTCAATCAGAAACAAATAATTACTCATGCTAAACGCTATATGTTAGTTGCTGATGCTAAATGCTAATAAGACCTTATACCATATTTATCTAGACTGCTAACAATGTGGTAAAATCCTATTTATTCAACTTTATCATAGAATAAAGTTGAATAAACCATTTTCAGGCATTAATTAGCTAATCATGTTTAGCTCAATACTGTGAGATGCTAATGCTAATTGTTAAAATAAATTTGAGGACCTCTGGTTATTCCAGGCTTAGTATTTGGGTAATTGAACATTTTCTTACATATTTCACCTATTCAAGGATTGTTTTGTAAAGAATTTCTAAAATACATCTTTGGAATCTGAATTAGGCTGCCTAGATGCTATGCTAGCTGACATGCTATTGGCTGGAGTTTCCAAAGCAGCGAATCCAGGAGAACCATTTATTTTCCTGGCGATAGTTCCAAGACTGTTTCCAACATGTGTATTAATGCATTTTAAGCTATATTTGGTGTAACTATTAAAATAGGGCATTATAAGTGTTTTTATACAGATTCTGGTATTTACATTTCAAATTATGGATTTATAAAAGTATTTTGACAGGAATTAGATGGAGGAAGACATGAAGCAAGGGTCGGAAGGTCGGGAATTGAACCCCAGATTTTCCTCCATAATCATGTTTACCAGCCAATGATGGAACGTTAATGCTAATGTTATGACGTGATAAATGGCCAAATGTATGAAGATGATGATGGTCCTCTAAAAATGAGTGAGAACTGAAATAAAATCAGTTTCTTAACTTCTCTTGACAGATTTATTACATTTTGTTGAATTGCTGAGGACGACGTAATGATTCATTTACAACTATTGACTTATTTTTATACATCTGAATTTATTTTTAATGTACTAATAAGCTTATCAGAACCCAGCAACTATTATTTATCCGTAGCATTTCAAACACATGAACCCAGTCAGTATAATCAGGGACTGCAGTGGTGAAGAATGCGTCATGTTTCCAGCTTTCAGCTAAATGCTTCATCTGATATCAACTGTCCTGAGAAAACCAAATCTGAGGCGTTTGGTCTGACATTCATGGTTTTATAAAACTAATTACCGTTTAACTCGTAAAGCAAATAAATAAAGCTTCATGTCTTGTTCATACTGAGGTTCTTTGCTTTGTCACCCAGAACATCTCCAGTAAACTCCTGTGGTTCATCAGTAATATTAATAATTAATAGAGTTCGGTGTATGAACTGGTTGTTCTGGTTCTGATGTTTTGCTCTTCTTGCAGATCGGCTACTGGAACGGTGACGACAAACTGGTTCTGGAGGAGGAAACCCAGCAGCTTTCCAATGATACCACAGGCATGGATAACCGAACCGTTATCGTGACGACCATCATGGTAAGCCAGCATGCTGCACTGCCTGCCTTCTGCACTTTTTCTCAGACATCTTTTCTACAAAACCTGCTTCCTTTGAAGGTTTAAATAAATATTTTAATCTGTGCCACGCCCTGATTGCAGCTTTTTTACTATCATCGGACGCTAGGGCTGTAGCGATTCATCAGATTCATTAAATTGTTTTACTGTTACAGCTGGGTGATTATTTGTGTTGGGCAATGCTCTCACTTGATTTGTGGACAAACGCTAAGCGCTTTTTGTGGACAATCGCTAAGCGCTATTAGCACAAGCACTGGAAAGAGACGGCTGACTGTAAAACAGAGTCTGAGTTTCACATTAGTGCGACTGCGATGCTGAAATGCCTCAGCAGGAAACATTAGAGTTTAGATCAGCTCCTAAAAATCTGATTAATTAACTCTGGACACCTGAAGTAAACCCGACATTTCATTCTAACCTGCTATCAGTTTTAAAGATGCCCAAACCTGACTTTGCTCTCTTAAGGCTTAGTAATGTAAGCCTGTTTTTAGCTTTTGCTTAAAATCTTCCAGATCCATTTTGTCACTTGCTACAATACATTTTACAAAAAAACAAATGTAAAATCTTCAAACTTTTCACTTTAGCAGTTAAAGTGAAATGTTTTGTTTCTCAGCTGTTTTTGCACCTGGAGGAAGTGAAGTCAATTCAGCTTCCTCCCTCTATTCAGACCAGTTTAACAGACTGGTCCCCAGTTGGACAGGACAGGACATGAAAGGCCTTTGTGGCAGTGATGGACACAGAGACCCGAGCCCAAATGAGGCCCAGAAGAACCGGAGCAGAGGAGAGACAGCGGCCATGTTAATGGATTCCTGTTCAGAAACACTCAGAGCCGTAATGGAGTCCCAGGAGAGGGAGGGGGATGCATATGGAGGGAGAAGCTGGCTTTGTTGTTTTTCAGAGGATGGAGGACGTCTCTTCACAGACACGCTGTGCGTGCGTGTGTGTGTGTGTGTGTGTGCGTGCGTGTGTGTGTGTTTTGGGTCCTTTAGGTGTAAAACTGCATGTTTTTCTCCCAGACTGATGGATCCTGGTCTGTAAAGTAGCAGAGCTGCTGTTTGCTCTAAATCTGTCACTTTGTCAGACTATCTGCTCTTACTTACAGTATATTACACACTGAGAGGACTCCCTGTAAGCCCTAAAACAGCTTAGAAAGACTAATGCTCCCATAATCACACCAATTCAGATCCATCACCTTGCTGTGTAGCATGATTTTACTGTTTCTCTGTGGCGGCTTCCTTTCAGCGCCGGTTCTGGTGTCGGATCAGCGTGTTTGTCAGTCGTGTTTGGAACAGACTTTGTGAAATATCCTGATGTTTCCTGTTTGTCTTCTGAAAGCTTAAATCCCTGCTGTGTTTAAATGCAGCAGCTTAAACTAAAAGGAAACATTTGATTATTTTAGGATAGGAAATAAATAAGACCAAGAAAAATTATTTCACAACCTTGACATGATGTTTTATTTTAAGTTAAAATATGAAAAGTGGTGGAAATCTTTTGGTCATTTTTGTTTACTTTTGTCATTGCAGAAATTACAGTTAGTACAAAATGTCATGGTGTAAATAATAGGCACAGTTCACTGAATCTTAAAACCGTTTAGTTTAACGAGATGAGTTCAGTCGATCACTCAGAAGAAATGAACGTCTCGCGGAAACAAAGCACAAGTTTTTAATGGTCCAATATTTAATGGTTCTGGGAGCAGAAACTGTTTCCAGTGAGGATGATCCCTGATCCTGCAGCAGCAGGAACAAACCGGAGCCAAAGAAACTGTTTAGCAGCTACATGACATAAAAACTGGAAGAATGCATGAAGAGGCTGCTGGGCGAGTCGGTGCTGCCTCGGTGTCGCCGGGTCATTTGGACCGCTGGTCGTCGATCTGGTGCTGATTAGCGCTCCTGACCAAACAGGCCGTTTGTCCCGAACACAAACCCAAACACCGAACATGGACCCAAACAAGCCGGCGTAGCGCTGAGCAAACAGGTTCTGTTTGGTTACGTGTCGGGGTGTTTGTTTGGATCTGGATCATGAAGCAAGCCGGGTCGTGTGTTTGTTCTGCACGGCCCGTGTCATGAGCCTCATTAGACGGCGGCGGAGCGGTGATTATTGACCAGGCTGTCAGCCATGTTGGCCTTTAAAGTGAAGACTGAGAAGGATCGCTCTCTCTTCCTGTGACTTGGACTGTTCTGTCAGAACCAAGACCAGAACACCCATCCATCCAGAACCCATTGAAACCTACTGGAACCTCACCACTCAAACTGATGCAGTTTTATCTGCTTCAACCTATTTTAGTGGGATTTAATGTGATGGATCAACATAATGTTTTCATCCATTTTCTTACAAAACATAATTGTGTTCATTAAAGATGAAAGATGTCAAAAAGTCACTGACGTCTGTCAGAGTGAAGAGGATTACAGGCCTTAAAATGTCTGAAATTCATTTTGAAAACTAGGTTTGCCTTTAATATTTTAATCAGATCTTCAAATCTGTCTTGGTGGGTTTTGTTGTTGTTGTTGGGTTGGAAATATTTTCAGAATCAGAAATCACCAAAATTATGACGCCATACAAAACGTGACATTTGATATCAAGAGCTCACAGTGTGAAAACATTAAGTATTCATAAATGAACATTAGAGGAAATAAAATCAACATCCAGTAGAAGATAATGTATTTGTCCATTTTATTTTCTAAAAACAAAAATAAATTCTTTAATCATGAAAACAAATATTCTTCAATAGACATTGATCAAATTAATTATAAGCAGACTTTTTTTATGTAACGTAAGTTTAAATTATCTGAAGGTAAAAGTCTCAGAACTGACATCTGAAGCCGGTTCTCAGTCTGAAGGAGTTCTTCTGACGTCTGGACTCTGACCCAGCTTCGGTTCTGATCTCCATCACTTTGAGAACAAACATTGGAAAGAGAAAAGTGTTGAGTCGAGTCTCTGAGGAGACGCAGCAGCGGTCCCGGTGAGACCTGGTCCATGGTTCTGGTTCTGGTTGTTTGGAGCTCAGATGCTAGGAATTGAATGTTTTGGGTTTGGTAGATCAGCTCCAGGAACAAAATGCCTCCTTGAAGAGTCGCAGTAAAACAGCGGGGATGATTTTACAATCACACCTGTAATGTGTCTCTAAATTAACCCCAGCGTGAATCCTCCCGCCTCAGGAAGTAGACTGAGCCGCTCAGTAATTACATGGTTGGCGGTTCGACCCGGTTCTCCGTCTGTCGCTGGAGTGACCTTCAGCGAAACTCCGAAACCCAAAAGGTTCCTAATCGGCAGGAACGCTGCTGCTGAACCGTTCCGATAGGAACCAATGAACCTTTGTCTGTTTCACTGGGATTTAATGTGACGGACCAACATAAAGTAGAACACAACGCCAAAGCAATGTGAAAACTCAGGAATTCACCGGTCTGTCCCTCTGACGGATCTCCTGTCCAAACTGAGTTCACCCGATTCAAACCGAACCCAAGTCTTGTAACCATGTAACCCAAATCCCACTTTTTCACGACGTTCTGGACGCCTGATTCTGATCTATTACCGCAAAAAAGTCAGATCTGTTCCACTTCCATTTCTGGAACTAAATCATATCCTATCGCATTTATCCCACATGAATAAAATGGATAATATATGGATTATATATTCGGATAATAATACGTATCATTAGTAACAATATGAGTAAAGACTTTATTCATATTTCTATAAATAAAATTGTCATAATACCAGAATAATGTCGTCTCTTTAGGATGATGAAGTAGTAATTTTTTGAAAACTCCAACATGAAAATTTTAAAATAAATAAGAGTAATGTTAAGTTACACTTTATTGGTTTTACATATAGGAAATATTCATCTTTTTACACAGCATCATCAATAGCCGGACTTTGACATTTTTTAAAAACTATTGAGTCTATTTAGAAACTCCAGATTTTCTGAGCTGGTCAGATCTTTTTGACTCTATTAAAACTTTCTTTGTATTAAAACAACATTTTCCTTGTAACTTTCTGACTGGTAGCGTTGAATCTTTATTCATCTAATGTTAGGACTTTATTCTTGTCATTGAAAGAAAAAGACCTTAACATGACGCTAGTTCTACGTCACATAAAACTGAATTAAATGAAATCTTCTTGTTTTCATGAGTTTTGCATTTTGTAATGACATACTGCTGCTGAATTTAGTTTCTACTTCTGACAGCTAAAAGGTTCCATACAGAAAAGACTGTTTCTCTATGTCACCAGTAGAATAAATGAAAACACAACACGTCAGTCTGTGTTGTGTTTGACGCTCTGGTTTCACTGGTCTTGTAGGAGGGTCCCTACGTCATGCTGAAAAAGAACTGGGAGTCGTTCGAGGGCAACGACCAGTACGAGGGTTACTGCGTGGACCTGGCCTCCGAAATCGCCAAACACATCGGCATAAAGTACAAGATCGCCATCGTCCCAGACGGGAAGTACGGCGCCAGGGACCCAGAGACCAAGATCTGGAACGGCATGGTTGGGGAGCTGGTGTACGGGGTAGGTGACGCTACGCTCACTGAGTCTGTCCAGAGGTTAGCTGGTTGGATGGATGTTTTGTTGTTTAGTTACATGGATGGATGGATGGATGGATGGATGGATGGATGGATGGATGGATGGATGGATGGATGGATGGATGGATGGATGGATGGATGGATGGATGGATGGATGGATGGATGGATGGATGGATGGATGGATGGATGGTTGTTTTGTTGTTTGGTTACATGGATGGATGGATGTTTTGTTGTTTAGTTACATGGATGGATGGATGGATGGATGGATGGATGGATGGTTGTTTTGTTGTTTGGTTACATGGATGGATGGATGGATGATTACATGGATGGATGGATGATTACATGGATGGATGGATGGATGGATGGATGGATGGATGGATGGTTGGATGGTTGTTTGGTTACATGGATGGATGGATGGATGAATGGATGGATGGATGGATGGATGGATGGATGGTTGTTTTGTTGTTTGGTTACACGGATGGATGGATGGATGGATGGATGGATGGATGGATGGATGGATGGATGGATGGATGGGTGGGTGGGTGGATGGATGGATGGTGGATGGATGGATGGATGGATGGATGGATGGATGGTTGTTTTGTTGTTTGGTTACACGGATGGATGGATGGTTGTTTGTTGTTTGGTTACACGGATGGATGGATGGATGGATGGATGGATGGATGGATGGATGGATGGATGGATGGTTGTTTGGTTACATGGATGGATGGATGATTGGTTTCTTGATTGGCTGGTTGGTTGATTGCGTTGGTTGGATGGTCGGCTGATTGGTTTATCCTACTGTCCTTGGTTTTACCGTTGCTCATTTGTTTGCAGCCATTTTGACATGTAAACGTTGAGTTGGGGGCGTGGCCTCCAGCTGCTTATTTGCATAAAAGGGACAGAGTTCTAAAACGGGAGCTGAGAACTGAGGAGGTTGATTATGATTGTGATGATTATCTAGTCATGACATTGAGCAAAAAGTGTAATAAAATGTTTTGTAGAACTACTTCGGTTGTTTAACAGAAAGCATCATTTGCCCCTTGTAAACAGAGCGGGAAACCCCTGATGGCCTGGGTTGTTGCCATGGTGACACGTCCAGCATGACCAGTTTTTATCTGAGGATTATATTTGTCTGATATCAAAGTATGTTTGATGATGTGAAACGTGAGAACAGCTAACCCGGCTCGTGTTTGCAGTGAATAGGTTTGAAAGGTTTATGGTGGAAATGTGAGTTAGGTCGGCTCTGTGTTTACTGGGAACATCCAGGGAAATTATCGACACTTTCCCATTTCCTCCCTGGAGAAGCTCTTCAACCCACCGAGTTTTTAAAACACTAAACGCTGCCAGGCTGTCGTCTTAGAGCATTCTGCTGAGGATGTAAGAACTTTAATCTCTGCCGTTTTCTTTCCCGCGGCTCCGTTTCCCAACGAGTTGGACGGCCGTAATGAAAGTTAAAATGCTGTGAGAGCGTAAGCCCCGCGCCGCCATGGCTGCCGAGCCGTTCGCTGTAATCTGGTTTGTGGATTTTCCGCGAGCTGGTGAGCGTTTTTCCACAGCTGCAGAGCAAAGAGGTGACACACTGTCCTGCGCTCTAAGCATATTTCTCTGATTATTTCATCCTTCCTGCTGATTCTCAAACTCACAGCTAAGCCTCAGACTATTTTAAAGTCTATTTTTGCTTTTTATTTCCTAACTCCCACGGTATTGTATGACTGCGTATTAAGGCCGCTGTCGACAGGGGAAAAAAAGCTCCGAAATTTTGAGATTAATCTCTGAAATTTTCTAGAAAAAACAAGGAAATGTCTTAGCCTGAAAGGTCAAAAGAATGCTTTAAAAACTTTAAAGTTAATTTAGAAATTTTGCTGGAAAAAACATGGAAGTGTTTTTTTTACTTTAAAGGTCGGAGATATATCAGAAAAAGTGGCAATTTTTGTGATTAGTTTCAATTTCTGATTTTGGAAAAATCCAAAAATTGCTTGAAAAAGAACATAAATAATTTTTAGATAAAAAAATGGCTAGAGGAAAAATAAACATCAACATTTCTCACAAATTTCTACAAAAAACAAGTAAACTTCTTTTTGAAAAGGCAATAATTTGCTATAACGAAACCCAGAAATTTGAGATTAATTTTAGAAATTTTCTTGAAAAAAATTGGAAACTTCTGGATTTGAAAAGTTTCTTTAAAGTCAGAAAACTTTATTTTAACCTCAGAAATCATTCAGAAAAATAAAGGTGGAAAATTCTAAGAGTAGAATATCTTTAACCTTTGAAGCATAAACATTTGAGATCAATCTCACGATTTGAGTTTTTTCTTCCACATTTTTTACTTTTAAAGTTCAGAAATGTCTTTATTTCTTCTTGATTCTCAAAATTTTAGTTTTTTTTGTCACAAATGTTCAACTTTTCAAGGTCAAAAATGACCTTGTTTTGTCAATTCAGTTCAGAAATACTTTGTGTATTTTTTTAACTTTCTGAAAACTCAATTGTATATATTTTCTCAATGAATGGTTGTAACAAAATTGTTTCTTGGATATTTTTCTTCTCTTGCCAAAGAAAAATTAAATGCTGTTGCAACTGAATAACTCTCCAGTTATTGTAGATTTAAAAAAATTAATGAAAAAAAATAGATTCAAAATTTCTGAGATTATTCTCAAACTTTCTCAGTCTTTTGGCAGACATTGACTCTTTTTTTCTACCATGGCCCTAATATTTACTTGCAGTCTCGAACTAATCCTCTTCCCTTTCCCCCCACAGAAAGCGGAAATCGCTGTGGCCCCTTTGACTATCACGCTGGTCCGGGAGGAGGTGATTGACTTCTCCAAACCGTTCATGTCGCTCGGCATCTCCATCATGATCAAGAAGCCGCAGAAGTCCAAACCGGGCGTGTTCTCCTTCCTGGACCCGCTGGCCTACGAGATCTGGATGTGCATTGTGTTCGCCTATATCGGCGTGAGCGTGGTGCTCTTCCTGGTCAGCCGCTTCAGCCCGTACGAATGGCACACCGAGGAGCCTGAGGAGGGCACCGACGGTCCGCCAAGCGACCAGCCCCCCAATGAGTTTGGCATCTTCAACTCTCTCTGGTTCTCCCTGGGCGCCTTCATGCAGCAGGGCTGTGACATCTCCCCCAGGTGAGTTCGCTCTTCCACTAAACTTTAACCGAAGAAGAGCGAGAGTCGCCACAAACTCTGCTCAGGCCAATTAAATTCACAGGTTGACATCATGTCAGGCTAACTGCTGCTCATAGTGAAGCTGCTAAACAAGGACAAGCTAACAGCTAAACAAAATGAAGATAATTTCTAGTTATAGATAACTGCTAACTGAAACCAATTTAGCAGCTAATTGTAATTACCGTAAGTGCTAACTGGAGATAGACTAACTGCTACTCGTAATGAAGCTAACTGTAAACAATCTAAAAGCAACTCGTTTTGAAGTTAACTGCTAATCATAGTGAAGCTACTTGTAGCTACTTCAGGTGAACTTCATCCCTCAGGCTGTACATGACCTCCAGTTTGACATCATGTCGGGCTGCATTATCTTGATCATACCAATAACTTAGCACTCACTCTGTGCTCAAATCCCTGGCCTATCAAGCCAATTAAGTCCTTCATCAATATTTCAAACATGTCTGATTGGCACAAATAGCAGCTGTGTGAATCTTAACACCCCGCTGTGATGAGCAGTAGTTTGTTGCAGCAAAGTAGAAGAAGAAAAACTCATTGCTAATAAAATGTAAGCTAACAGACCCTCAGAATGATCATGAAGCTAATCTCTATCAAACTACCAGAAATATCAGTGTTTTATAGCTAGCATCACATCCACTCACCCCTACACAACAGTTATAATGTCAAGGTAACAGCTACTCACTGAAGCAACCTGCTTGCTAACTGGCGAAAATCTACTCCTGATGAAGCTAACTGTAGACAAGCTAACAGCTACTTGTGATGAAGCTCAGACCTCATCCCCTCAGGGTGTGCATGACCTCCAGGCCAATTAAGTTCACAGTTTGACATCATGTCAGGCTGCATTATCTTGATCATACAGACAATGTAGTGCTCAAATCCCTGGCCTGTCAATCCAATTAAGACCTTCATCAATATTTCAAACATGTCTGATTGACACAAATAGGAGCTGAGTGAATGTTAACACCCTGCTGTGACGAGCAGCAGTTTGTGGCAGTGAAGGAGAAGAAGAAAAACTGTGCATGTTTTAAATCCTTAAGGTTACTAGCAGTGTGTCTTTGTTAGATTGTAGATGTCTCGAGGCAAATCCTTAATGTGGGTCAGAGATGATTATAACTGCAGCATTAAGCTGATAAGTTAACATGAGAATGTTTGTACTGGAAGAATATTTTGACATTTTTGGGAATATCTAAAATGACAAGGGGACATGACAAATCTATTCCCATTTCACTATAGGGGCATCATATCTATCTAAACAGCTGAAATATATAATTAAACTGTGAAATCAAAACAACAATGGCCGAAATCAGCTGCGACTCAATCTCCTTGCAGCAGTCAGAGAAATCTCAGTCTGAAGAATCTTAAAAAACAAAAACAAAAGTTAATGAATGTCAGCATGACCAGCTACTCAGATTCCTGCTAACAGCTGTGCTATTAAATGCTTCTTAGTTAGCTTCACTGAGTAGCATGTGGAGATAGCTGCTAGCTTATCTCCAGTTAGACAAACTCCAGCGAGTTTTGTCTAACTGGAGACAAGCTAAAGCTAGCAGCTATTCATGATTAAGCTAACTGCTAATTTGTGAACACTATATCTGCTTTACATGCCTATCAATTTAGCAAGAGGCAGCAATCTGAATGCCATTGTTGTTTCTGTTTTTGCTAGTGTTTGTGTTCTATTTTTACCTCTTTTGCCAGCTGTTCTTTGTCCGTATGATTTGGCTCATGCTGAAATCCAAAACCACTTTAATTGCCTTAATTTCAGTTTTACTGTTTGTTAAAGCTAATCTTTCACAAAGAAAGAGGAATTTTATGTCTAAAATGATTACAGCTACAAGTGATGCAAGAAAAGGAGATGAGGAAAATGAGAAACAAATTATTGCGATGTTAAAGAATGATTACTGAAATGAGATGATGCTTCCCAGAAATGCTGAACTCATTCTTCTGTTTTAGAAGAGAGTTTTGAGTTGAGTTTGCATGTGGCTCAAAATAAAAACTGTTGCTTGTTTTTCTGGGTTGCACTGATATCTGCTGCTCTGTTTGCTGTAGCTTGTTGTCGAACGTCTCCTGTTGCGCTGACTGATTCTGTTGGTTCTGGTTCGGTTGGTCTCTGCATTTGTTATTGCCTGTATGTCTGCGACTTCTCTATTGTTTGAAAGCTAAGAACCCTGGAGATCGGCAGACTGGTTCCCTTTAAACATGGAGGAGGATCTGGCTCGTGCTTGTTGTTGTGCGGTGGAAGTCGCCTGTTGTAACATCAGGCTTCCTGTCTGTGACGCGCCGAATCCTTCAGACGGTTATAAAGCCTCTAATTCCCCGCGGTTTCTCATTTGCTGCAAAGCCATCCCAGTGTGAATGGCTTTGTCAGGCTTAAACTTCCTGCTGCTGGTGTGCTCGGGTTATTTTAGGAGCGGCTGCTCTATCAGCGCCGTCCTGTGCTGCTGCTTCTCTAATGGCTGCTGTTGTAGAGTAATAGCGTAGCGCTGGCAGATGAGATCGGCCCGTATCAGCCGCGCCCACACAGGAGGAGGCAACATGGAGGATCCAGAGGTGCATCAAAACCGTAGCTCACAGAAGCAGCCCGTACTCCAGCGGGTCGGCGTGTGTGATTAGGAGAATGCCTGCTGCGCACCTCCACCTGCCTCCAACCCACCTCCATCCTCCAACTGCTTTTCTGCAGATAATAGTCTTAAAGCTCAACAATATTTTTCATCCTTTGCTCTGTTGGCGCTTTCCTCCCTTCGCTGCTAATCTCAATGACGCCTCAGTCTATCAACAGTAGCGCTCCCTTGCTTCCAGTTCACCCTGAAACCAGAAGGGACAAGGTCAGAGGTAAAAATCGATCACAAAACAAGTTACAGCTGCCGAGAGATTTTACCAAAACCTTCAAATGTAGCCGGAAACATCAGTGAGGAAGGAGTGTTTTCCATGCGTAGTGTGCTTTACTTAAGAGCTCAGAATGTTTGAGGAAAATCCAGTTTCCAAGCTTGGAAAGCCCCAGTCTGCTCCTTCAGACTAGCCCGCAGCAATTAGCAAACACCTGGTGGAACTGCTGTAGGAGCTACTGCTCAGTGCTGGTCCCTGATTTTAGATTTTCCTCTCCTCTCTGTAAACAGGACAGGTCGTTCCTGAAGGCGGAGTTTCATAAAGAGCCTGAGCTTTTAAAGAAGAGCTGAAAGAAAACTCGTTTGGCATTCTGATTAATCAGAGACAGATTTGTGTAAAGAAATGAGCAACAGTGAGGGCGTGAATACGTTCCCTAAGCTATGTGTGGACCGGTCTGCGGTTCTGTCCCTTCAGGAACATTAATCTCTCCTTCCTCATGAAGATCTTTAATTTCTCCCTCTCTGACAGGAAGGGCGAGCAGAGCTGGAAATAGTCTTCCTCTCCTTTAAATGCGGGTTACTGCCCCCTCCGCTCCCTCCGGGCGGCCGCAATAATTAATTCGGTGATTAATATCCCGGTCTCCAATGGTTACGGGAGAAGAAGGGAGCTCAGATGAAACGGTGACACCAAAGTCCTTTTAATTGACTACAAATCCCATCTGAATAGAGGTGAAGTTTTCCCTCCTGCGGCGGCTGCAGGAGCTTCTCGCTCCTCCAGGTGGGTTCCTCCGGTCGGACCGGCCATCTTTCTGCTGAGTCAAGCCGCCGCTCATTTGCTCCTGATTAGCGCCGATTAGCTCAGATTGTGAAGCAAACGTTCCTGACGGCTGCAGATAGTCGCGGGCCAGAAGAAGAGAGGAGGAAGACTTTGAAGCTGCTCTATCTGTTCGTGCCGTGCCGTCAGTGCAATGCCAATTAGCTTTTGTCCTCCGGCGCCGCAGCGCCGCTCTGCCGCACGGCTTATTGCTCATGTCAGCAGCGCCTCTCTGCGCTCAGATTGCGGGCCGCTCTGGAGGCTCGCACTGGGCCGGGTCCACCGCCGGCCCGCAGCTTCAAAGCCGAGCTCCACTTTCGAGCTAATGCTTTGATATTCGGGTCCCTGCGCTAACGATGCCGCGGCTATGAAAAACAAACATGGACGGCTGACGTTTAGGAGCAAATATATTCTTGTTTTATTTTTTCAAAATCTTCACCTTCCTGTTAAAATGTATGTGTTCTAAGAATGCGTTCACACCAGCCATGTTTAGTCTGTTTTAACTCCAGTGCGTTTGTCAAAAGAGTCCGGTTCGGTTCTGGTCCTCCAAACCTCGGTCTGGGTTCGGTTGAAGTGAACTCTGGTTCGCTTTGAACGCATATAAGAACGGTAATATATATAACATTACTAGCTCAGAGCTCCCCCTACTGGCCTGGAGGACTTCGGTTTTGTGACGTGAGTTTGCAGCATTTTATTTCAGCTGAGTTTGCTCCTTTTTCCCTTTTGCTTGTTTCCTTTTTAGTTTTTTTAGTTAAATATCAGAAATATTTAATCATACTACTTTTTAATGATTTAGGAGTGTGTAAACTTATAACAGCTGCCCCTCATCAAACATATTTCAGGATTTTATTACAGTTTTCATTAATGTGGAATTAAACCATTCATCTCAAGTTTTACTGTTTTAGTTAATAAAAAAGTTTTAAAAACCATTTCTCTCATTTTATCCTCCTATAAATAGTTATTAATGATACAATTGATCCAGGAAGCCTCAGATTGAGTTAATAGTCATTTTTTATTACTGGTAAGGTTATAATTATCTCACTTCTAGAGTAATTATCATTTTCTGCTAGCTCAGTGAGGAAAATCCTGATTTTCATCACTTTGTTTTTAATCTAGAAAGTCAGCAGTTTATTCTTAAACCCAGTAATAAAGGTGCAACGGATCAGTAATCTGTGTTTTGCAGCGACAACCTTTTTATTGAATAAAAACTGGAGACCCTCTAGGTCGGCGGTTTTCAAAGTGTGAGGCGCGCCTCCCCTGTGGGGCGCCAGAGCACTTTAGGGGAGGCGCGGTGCAAGGGAAAAAATAAACCG